CGACTGGGCTCCGCGAACAAAGTGGTTGACAAATGTCATGTGGCGGTCGTGAAATCGGTACCCGTTTGTGACGAAGCCGGTGGTATTCGTCGCACGATACCGACCCAATCCTAGCGCCATGAAAAGCGACCCATCGCGACGCGCTTCTTCCAACAGTCCTCCTCCCGATTTACCGAGAATTGATTCCTCATACTCGGTCATCGTGTCAACCAGCGACACCACCTGAATGCCCTTCCATGCGTCCATGCGGAGGCTCAGTGTCTTCTTGCAGACTTCCTTGGGAAGGGTTACCGCGTCACGCCTTCTCTTGATCTTGCGATCATCATCGATAACGTACTTCTGAACTTGAACGTTGACCATGCACAAAACACCGCGAAGAAACAAGAGAACTCGTGNCGACTCCTGCCCCTCCCCCCCTGGCCCATAACCTTGATGCCGTACAGCCCGTAGTCGAATTTCTCAAGCTTTTCCACAACGTCACTGAAATCCCGGCCTGTCGGGTCACCCAAAGCCTTCTCGATGTGCAAGTATGTCAAAGATCTGGTATCCTGTTTTGTGCGAGCCTTCTTGATTTCCGCCAACATCGCTCGGGCCGTTTTGAACTGGTCGCTCAGACGCTTCAACACGTTCGATACGGCGTCTTTTCCACGGCGCCATAGTAAGGAGGAATGCTTGTGGGTCGGGTTGGGTTCACAGAGCTCACTTGTTTCGTGAGCCACGCCACTCCGCTTCCGCGGCTTCACCGCCTTCCGAACCTGCCCATCGGTATCCTCAGAGACCGAAGGCGACGACGGCTGGTTGCGGCCCGAAACAACGACATCCGTGGGATCCTCCTCCTCTTCCTCATCCACATCCGCCGCATCCCCCGCGTCACAGATGAATCCCTCCTCGACACCACCAAAGTCAGGAAGTGTTTCGGTATCCTCCTGGTTGGAAACCGGGGCCCGACCGGTCGCCACACATTCGCTACAGAACCACTATTAACAGCAAAAACGTGTGCGCGCAAAGAGAAAGAGAGGGTTGTCAAAAGGGGGCGAATTCATCCGCGCACGTGTTACCCTACATCTTGTGTCCTACAAAC